CAATAATCGTTGTAGACAATTATTGATACTTACGTTGTACTAAAAACCATTGCAAATGGGAAGCTTCAAATTTGGATTAAATAAGGTTGTCTGAAGTTTCGAACTTTCGTAAAACCATTGATGAAAATGAATATACATATGAAAATAATAGGGAACCCTTAACTGTAGTTGTATATATAAATGTATTGCATAAGATGCGGTTGCCTAGAGCATAATAAACATAAACTTATTCAAAGATCAAGCTCAAATATGTGTAGTTTTTCAGATCAGCTTGTTCACGTGAAAAGGTCTTCAAAGGGGAACAGTTGACCCGGAAAAAAAGTTTTTAATAGATGTACTATTATGTTTGAACGATAATAATTTGTAACTGTATAAATCACACGTGGATGATGTGGACGATTAAGTGTCAAAGGCATTTGCTTGAATTAAGGACAGTTATATACTATAAGAGATTATCCCAGATGAATAATTTTCATAATTCCAGTTACTCATGCGTTTACTACGTGAGTTTAAAAGTTAATTATTTAAAAATGAAATAAAATCGTTCTGTGGTTAGTAATTCTTAAAAAAGAAAAATTATAATAAAATGTATTAAAAGTACATTAAATAATAAAATCCGTTTTCGTTTCGGCTATTATTGTGTAATATACGCAAATATACAAATATCTAAGATATTTTTCGATTTGAAAAAATCATTATTAGATATGAAAATGTATTCTTAACTGCAGCCAAGAACTTTTATATTTCACGATCAATGTACACCGGTACCGGAAACGTTAAATAGTTTTTTTTAACAAACCGTGTGTATAATTAACAATACTTTTGCAGTTGATTAATTTTTATGATGACTTATAAGTCCATATTTATAATTCCCAACCAAACGGCAATCCCGACTCGTGCAATTAAGGCTCGCGAGCCAGACTGTCTCGTGAAACACGACCTCTCAGATTTCCTACGTGAAAGTCCAACAGAACACCCGAGGACTTGTAATTCTATGCGTTAGTCGTTGCCGTCCAAGCGATCGCATAGCTCCGCAAGATAGATCGATTGATACTCTCAGCTGTTCGCCACATGAATCGTACAATTGTCGCGGTTATTGCTGCGCATGGTTTTCACCAACCGACTCCATCGTCACCGTTTTCACGTATTCAAATGACACACACACACACACACACACACACACACACACGTTAAAACTTCGCACCGAGATCGGGAAAAATCCGTTGATGTTCGGCGTAACGATCTTGCCGAGTGCCGCGCGGATATGGCGACGCGGTCTCGTCGCGTTATGACGATAATGACAGTATACGAATTATTCTTTTTTCGTGTACTACGTAGCAGCAGCAGCGGTCCGCGTTGTTCTAGAAACGGTCGTTTGACACGCGCACTTTAATGTATTATTCGTAGTTGTATATTATTACTGGCTGCGAAAAAATAAAATTATAATAGTGTAACGTCATATTCGGGAAAAAAAGAAAACCTTGACGGAGTACGTGTGTCCCGTACGTAGGAAACAGCGCAAAACGATCGTAAAATAACGATAATAAAAACATGCCGCGAAAAAGATACCTAACTAAAAACGATAACGCTAAAGATATCTAGAACACTATTTATAATGAATGTTTTCGCGTACGCACGAAACGACATCGGGCCCACTCGTCGTAACAAACACGCGCGTTTATCGTTTTCAAACGCAATCGTGTCAACGTCGTCGTCGAATTAACGCGCGTCAAGTCTCAGGTGTTCGCCGCGCGTTTCGCGTTATCATAATTATTACCACTGCACGTTGTCGTTTATTATTTTCGGAATGCACGATGCGCACTTGCATCGCGGTAACGGAATATATTAAAGTTCGAACACGTCGCCACGTTATAATTGGACCGTCGAGGTCGCAGTTGGATCATAACTAATCGACGTACTTACAGTTTGGGCGACGCTTCGAATTATCGCGGCCGTACCACTACTATTCGTAACAATCCTGTCTACGTCGAACGCGCATAGTATTGTTTTAACCGCTGCTGCTACCGCCGTCATCTGCTCTCCCGCCGCGAGCGCAATAACCGGCGAAAATAATGCGATTAATAACGCGCTTTCTGTTTCGCGTGTTGGGCGTACATAAATAATAATAACGTACGCTCTGCGTGCATTGTTTGCAACAACTCGACGGGCCGTTTTGGGGTAGGTTCTTCGGCCGACGACCCAAACACACGCGCACCTATCGTGAGGGGGGGGGGGGGGGAGAGAAGATCGGGGACGGTTATGGAATAAAAACGCAATTCTCGACGTAAATAGACTCTTAATTTTAAACTCGACACCGTACCGCACGATATCGTATAAAAATACAAGATATGTACATAGTTGTTTTGATTCAGTAACAGTTGAAACAAATGTTCGGTTCTATATACGCTTCTTCACTGCGTACAAGTCTAACAATCAATTGTTAAGATAATGTTCGGTGTAAGTGGTGGAAATATATTTGTTGATACATTTTTTCTTTTCTATAGGTCTTGGCGAAAAATAATCCGTCTTCGACGAACGGGATCCCTTTAAAGGGATCCCGGTGTACCGCAACGTGGACGAAACATCACGTGTTGATGTTGACCGCTTGTCCGCGAAAAACGGGGTCGTATTTTTCCGGGCGCCATCATCGCGTCATCGCAATCGCGGTCGGGATCAAATACGGTAAAAAAAGTTGACAAAATACACACGTTAGATTATGCCGCCGACCGTGTAGAAATCCAAGTACAGTTTTTCGAATACAGGAAAATGTGTACCGCTCCCACGAGAATGTAGCGGCGTTCGACCGGCCGAGTGCTCGTTGAACCGCGGGCTGCGATCCGCGACCGTTTACCTGTACATGATTTAAACATATGAAATATTATTACGGTGTTTTGACGTTCCAAACACTTTCTACGCCCGTCAACTGTAACATTCCGTTATGAAACTTTCGCGCGCGCGCGCACGATAACACACGAATTTTTCTAAGACCATCGTGTTGTTGTTTTACATAAACGCAGTATAAATAATGATAAAACGTTTTAATACCTTGTAACGCGGCGTACAGCGCGATGGTAATAGTATAATAATAATAATAATATTAAAAAAAAATAAAAATCAACGATTTCAAATAGGTATTTATCGTAATTTTTTACAAAACATTTTTATAAATCATAATATGCACGGTGGTAGGTAATGCAATGATTTATTGTAATGTTTCGTTCCAAACGTTAATGCAACGACGCGAAATAATCATTATTAATAACAAAGGTGACGTATTTTTTTTAAATTTTATTTATTCTTGGTTGAAAACACGTACGTACACCCTGACAACCAGAAAACCGAGCAACCCGACTGTTTTCTCAACTCGTCTATTGTACAATATATATTACACTGCCGTGTCCGACCGACGTGTACACTACCTATCCCCGATGATATTATATAAATTATGTTCGCGCGAATGTACACATGATTTGTACTAGACGGACGCGTTGAATAATGCGTTGGATGCGCTATAATGTGTCCGGAGCGCGGATTATAAAAATAAAAACAATAATAATAAAACAGATATGTATCAAAGAATTTTTGTAAACGTTGTTAGAAAAAAAAAAAAAAACCGGTTTGATTTTATTTCCTAGTTAATCATTTAATGGTTCGTAGGGGAAATGCATTTGCACTATAAAATCGAAAAATCTAAAAGCAAAACGACTACAACATATTACGCCGCGCACTGCGCGTACGATTGCACGGGTTCGGCGGTGCGCGCGTGCGTGAACCACCGGAGAGACCGCGGGATTCGCACGGATCGAGAAAAAACTTTTAAAAACCTCCCGGTAGGAATCGTTAAGATCGTACGCGTACGTTAACAATATAATAATATATTTTATTACGTCGCTCGTGCATATTAAATTGTCGATTATATGTTTTCTTCTACGCTCGCATCCATCGTACTTTCCATCCTCCTCTCTTGTTAGTACGCAATAAACGCGAGCGACTACTCCGAGAGAAAACGAAGGAAAACCACACGGAATCGAACGACCGACGGAATCAGCGCGGGGCGGGAGGGTAATCACTTGATGGATTACGCGTATAAATAATTAACTTATCACGCGAGTCGGCGGTGGTGCAGGACGAACTCTCCGGTTGCGTTCCAAACGTACTGCATTACGCAATATTCAAATGCGTTTAAAACGTGGGATTTCAATAATTTCGATACGATAACGCCGCGTTACACAATGTTGTACGCGCACCGAGCACGCATTATTCCAACGCAATAATAGCATCTGCCCCGGCATGTGCAAATGGGTTTTATCGAAACAACAGGCAGTTAAATCGTAATCAGTGGGGTCCTGTACGTGTTATAATGTATTCGATCGATCCGCGTGGCGCAGTAAACGTATACCGACCGTATGTTTGACGGTCCAACGTATGTACAGTGCAGTTACACCAGAGAGCATAAGTTATGGTCACCGACCTTGGTTTACTTACTCGTTTGATTTATACGAGTCGCTACTTAACGAAATACTTAAAGTGTAATGTGTATGTTTTAGGTTACTCGCAGGAAAAAGTAATTTGATTGGAGTTCCGCGGTCAAACGCGTTGCTTTTATGCTTTTTTTGCATTCTTTTCCGTCGTATGTCTTATGCAAAATCGCTAATTATTAAAAATGCATTACTCGCGAAATGTTTAATATGTGGCTGTGTAAGTATACACTGATACTTGGTGCAAACATTCGATCCAATTATCCGTGTAATATGTACCTGACAAAATGTATAAATAAATTGGCATGACTGATAAGATTGCGGCTCGTTAATAACCGTCGTGCGATCCGTGCGTCACTTTAAAGTTACAGTTTGATCAGTTTTGTTTTGTGCGGACACTTTGAACGAACAGTGTCTCGAACGTTTAAGGAATGCGATAGGCGTTCTTAAAAACTATGAAAACAAACACAGCCGAATGTCACTGAGCCCCCCCTGAAAAATAACATAAGCCGCTATACGTACCTCGGGTCGAATATCTGTAAACGTGATCACGATCGGATTGAGCAGAAAAAGAAGTACAAACGCATCCGGATCCTATTTAAATACATGCACACCTTCCAGTCCACATTTATCTATTACATTTCCGAGAGATGAACTCGCGCGTGCTCCATCTGTCAATATGTAATGACAACATCACTCGTATTGTAAAAGAATTTCGTAGTTCAAAAAAAAAAAAAAACCTCTGCTTGTAATCAAAGTAAAATAATCGCCTTTGAATGGACTGCGAGACGACTGTGCAGAAAGAAAAAACGGTTTAACCGTTCTCCGTCGGAAACGTAGAGAGGAGAAGAAAACCGATTTGTATCGTACACTGTTATGACCGTGTATAGAAAGCATACGCACGATAGTGCAATGATGATCGCGGCCTATAATGTTTAAGATATTTTCCCGATACGGATTAACTGGATCGTAGTCGGAGAGAAGAGAAAAATGAAAAAAAAAATCGTGTTGATAAGAACGGAAGACAAAAGAAGGACGAGGCGAAATCTCGAAGCCTTTTAGACGGTTTTCGAGTCCTTGCGAGAGGGGCCGTAGGTGACTTGTCCGCGTTTAACATTCCTTCGAACCGCGCACACGTGCAACGAGTAGGCTAAGCGCTAAACGAACACAGCGCGTTGGCCCCGTGCCAGTCTATCTACGACACATCTTCGCCGCATTTCTCATGTTCGCCCGGAACGACATGACACGCGCATGGAAGGGAAGGAGAAGCGGGGCTTGGGGCGGTCGAGCTGAAGACGGATACCGGCGGCCAAAGGAAGGCGTACACATGTACGTTACACGGAAAAATAACAATGAAGGATAACGTTTTATCGATGCTATTGTTTCACATGCGAGAAACGTCCACATCAGTAAGTATTTTCCATGTATACGATACTCACCTATAGTATATTACACCACTGTTATGTTCTAGAACTTGATTATTTTTATATTTTTTCATCTTCCTTTATTTATTTTGGAATTAAAAATAAGTAAAAAAAAAAAAATGGATGGTGGTAACTCTTTATAAATCCGCTTTTTGAAAACCCAAAAGAGTTCTAGAAATCGACCGTAAAAAAGGTTTTCTAATTGGCGCTTTCTAAGTTTTTTAGTATAAGGAATATGAAACAAAACCGAATGAAATTACTGGAAGGAAACATTTCGTAGTTGAATTCTTAGTTCCGACCAGTTTACTATCACAAAGAATGAACATCATTTTCACAAATTATTTTTATTCGTACACAACACACTTGTCACATACTTTATCTGTGCGGCATCGTATAAAACGCCCATCGAACGTTCCACATTATAAGCAATCCTGTGCAATTTTTCAAAAGACAACTCGATGCGTTTGAACTGTATGGTAAAAAGCGTATTGTTATATGTATTGGCAGTTCTATAAAAATGGAAATCGTTGATATGATAATAAAAAAATAAATACGAACCTCGTTCTCTCAGCTCAGACACCTGAAAGGAATTCGTTCGATGAAAATTACACCTAATCCTTTTGCATTCTCTCGCACTCACACACACACACACACACACACACACTTTTTCTAGATAACTGGTTTATACGCTGGGTGTATCGTAAATCGTTTATTTCACATGAAAATCTAATACATTCCGTTTGGTAGCATCGATCGATAAATAAAATATATCATATTTTATTTATCGATCGATGCTACCAAACGGAATGCCGTCCGAACGCGTTATCTGTGTTATAGGAATTTAGACGAAAGTCTAAGTTCACACATAATTTACACGATCAGATACGCACTAATGTCCACGGGTAAACGATGTTTTCTCGCCAACGTCATCGTGATTGATGCCGTACGGGGACGATGTGTTTTTTATCTTATACCATCGAAATCGCGGTCATTACGTCTTGAACGTGTACGCGTTATTTTTTACGTTCCGATGGACAAGCGAGAAAGGTAACACGACTTTTCGTTCCCATGTCCGCGATTCGGACGCGACAATTAATTTCCGCGAGATTTTATTCGGACGAAAACGATGCGGCGCTGTGGTCATGAAGTTAGCCCCCCCCCCACTTTGAACGATTCACTTCAGACCATCGACAATATTTAGCAAATTAATTGCAAATAATTGCAAATTCATTTTTAGAATTTGCAAATTAAGTGAAAAGTCATAAATCAAAAAATAGATTTGGGGGGGCTAACTTAAATTAACCCCCCCCCCCAATTTGCCCTATCCGTTCCAAACCGACGTAAATATTTAGCAAATAATTGCAAATTCACTTTTAAAATTTGCAAATCAAAATTGTAATTTTGGCGAATTATTTTGCAAATTTTGTCAGCCCCTCCCCCTACTTTGTCCGATCGACTTCAAAATATCATCATACAATAATTGTAATTATTACAAATTGAGTTTTCATAGTTGGAAACTTATTTTATGTTTTTATGAATTTATGCAGATATACATTTTCGTTCTTATTACTTGTATACATTTCGTATTTTTCATGGCTAGAGTCTGGAATTAAAATATTCGGTTCATATCAAACTTATATCATTGACCAAATTATATATTGCATATTATTTGAAAATGATTTAATAATCTTAAAGTTAAGATTGTCATTTATAAATTGTTTGTAATCGAAAATAAAATTTCTATTATTTCTAATAACTAATTGCTATTAAAAAAATAAAATAGTGACGTGGATCAGACCTTTAGTTAGATCTGCTTTACTATCTAATATATTTATAAATACTGATTTTTACCTACTCTATAATTTTGATTTGCAATTCGTTTGCTAAATATTGACATCGGTTTGGAACGGATCGGACAAATTGGGGGGGCTGAATGAAGTTAGCCCCCCCAAACCTATTTTTTAATTTGTGACTTTGCACTTGATTTGCAAATTCTAAAAATGAATTTGCAATTATTTGCAATTAATTTGTTAAATATTGGCGGTAGTCTGAAGTGAATCGGTCAAAGTGGGGGGGCTAACTTCATGACCATTGCGGCGCTACCCCGTGGAGGACGACAGACGATCCCGTGAACGTTTGTCGCGGGAATAAAAATAAATAAAAAAGAGAGCCCAAAGAAAATTTCTAATTCGAGAACGCCGTTTGTCGGGGTCACCGGCTGCTTTCGATAACCTTAGAAATCTGTTAACGTGATCGAACGTTAGCCCCGGCCCGGCGCGGTGCGCTAATCGTCACCCGACGGCAACGGCGGATTGACGACCGGAGACGGATCTACATACGTGCTGCGGGGCGAGACGTAAACGTTCCGATTAGCGCCCGCGGTACAAGAAGCGCGGCATCCCTTAAACGAAAAAATGTTTTCGTCGTGCGTAATAATTATATAATACCACCCGTGTGTCGAGGGGAACGCCGAGAGACGGTGTAACAATCCGTCATTCGTCGGTCTCGGGTGTGATACTATTGTACACGAATATATTATGTCACATTAAACGTGCGTATTATAACACGCCGTGAGCCGGTGGATTCGATAACACGATATTATTACATCGCGGTACGACGTTTATAACGGTCGTGGTGGTGGGGGAGGAGGAAAAGAACTAAAAAAAAAAAAAACTTTAACGATATTTTTATGTAAAACGCGAGCGAGCGCATATGGATCAGGTGGAAGTTTTTTTTTTTTTTGCCGATTACCAGTCACCGTCGGTTCGGTGACAGTCGTCGCGTCATCACTCATCATAATAACGCGGGTGCGCCGAAAACAGCTGCATAATATTTATGCGTAGGAGATACCGCTACTGCGCGCGTCAGTCAAATTGTCATCGATTATTGTTTACGGTAAAAGTGCCGCGACCAGCTAGGATAGGGCCCCGTTAAGCGAACTTGATCCACCGGCGCTAATATTCCGTTTACACGAGAAGTACGCGTGCAACACTGTTCTGCCGAGTACTAACTAGAGCTCTGCACGTGCTGATCTGATCCGGTTCAGTTCGTTTTGGCCCGGCCCGGGTGCACGTTTGTGAGTTGTCTGGGCGGCCGGGCCGGGCCTACGAGATCATGATTAAGTCACGGACGGTCAGAAATAATCGTTAACAAACGTTCGTGATCCATCGTGAATAACAGTAAAAACAAAATATGTATTAATTTAAAAACAATACGTTTTAATTCGCAATAACATTAAACGTATAAAAATAGAAACTTAAAATGTTGATTTTAAAAATAAACAACTATTGCACGTAAAACTTTAAATAAATTGAATTTTAGCAGAAACAATGTAAGGTTGGATCCGGGGTTATTTTTAAATACTATAATAAATCGGCCCGATTAATCTATGCGAACGAGATATTGGACACGATTGGGTTTTAAAAAGTAAGTCCATGCAGAGCTATACATAATACTTACCATGAAACCATAAATAAATAATAAACAGATTTTTTTTTATATACAAAGTAAAAAAAAAAGTCCAATTTAATACTATGAAAAAATTATAATAATCAGTTTATATTATTATTGTTATTAATTGTTTAATTTAAATTATTAGATTAATTATCATTTACAAATATTTATTTAATCAAATTTATAATATTTTACGTGATTTAATAATAGATTTTTTTTTTTTTTTTATAGTATTTATACAATATATATTGATTTATTAAGTAGTTTCAGAATTGCCCAAGGACCCCAATGCTCCTTGTGCTCTTGGGCCTCGGAACACTTCCCCACTTTTTCTTGTGATAGCTACGTCACTGTACGGCAATCACGTAACGTGATTCACGTTGTTTGTTAAGCTTTGGAAAAGTGTAGCCAGTTCGGTCCTTATTGCCTTGTTCGTATTATCGAGTACAAAAAACTGTTGTAGCGGTTCACAAGGACACTGCATTCTTGTGACCGATTCGAGTGTCGAGTTATCGAGTACCGGTTATAGATATGAATAATATTATCTTATCGACGACAGTAATATTTTACGTTATAAAACGAACATTTGACAACTTTCGAGAAAGTACATAATAACATATTTATTATTTGTATGATTTTTCCCTCTTAATCGTTATATCTCTTAACCGCAGCACTCTCGAAATGTTATCGTGTAGCTGCCAAATATATTTTGGTCGACAGAAATCTTGTACGAATAGCGTTCTCATTATACTGCAATGGTCACAAAAGGTTTACGAATAGCGTTCGCTAATAATTCAGAATTATTCTAAAGCCTTGGTTCGCGTTTGCACGCCTTAGCATTTTTCCCAGGATCGAGGCTGGTCAGTCGTCACCGCCACTTCCCTCCATTCACCACAGAAACCACGGCGGCCGTCACGCGATACAGTCCGGTGATGGTGAAACTTTATTCCTTTTAAAGGTTAAAAAAAAGAAAACTTTGCCTTTTTTTGTCAAATCCAGCGTATCAGTACGAAATAATTTAAAATCTCTCTCATAAAAATCTAACAATTACAATTATATTTTTGCAATAAAATAGTTCACTCAAACAAATTTAAACGAACACATAATTTGAAAGAAAGATTATAAAATTGTTTTCAATTATAGTTTTATTTTTATTTTCTAAAAATGAAGTAAAAATAAGAAATATATTTAAATTAGCGTAATACTAAAATTGTGTACACATGAGTTCACCGTCTCTGAAA